AATCACGTTTATTCTCCTTGAAATCAATTGGCATCGATACTTTATTAATTTATAAATAAAAACTTTAATCATTCAACAAGAATGTCCCATTGATCGCTATTTTTATTAGAGTACCATTTTGTTTGATATGAACCAATTGAAGTACATTTCATCAAAAGGAACTCAAATACAGCGATTGTGTCGACAAGTTATGTTAGAACAAGATTTAAAGCATTTCACGTAAATTAATTTTTTTCAAAATCTTGATATATTGATTTATAAAAAAAAATCTGGAAAATATTCATTAATTTAAGACAGTTTCCATACAGAAATTTGCAGCTTTTCACCATTTTACACCTTGCAAGGGTTGGTATATTCATATTTTTGAACCCTAAGAATTATCTTCCAATGCTTAGTATTGATCTTAAAATTATCTTAAACAACTCTCTATAATGTGAGAATTGAGTAGTCTAATTTTCAGACTTGTAGAATACAAGTCGCCTAATTTTCTCTCCATAATAATGTCCCTTAGTGTTGACATGGCTTCAGAAAGTATGGTTCTGAAATCTTGCTCAGAAGTGTATTGGAAATGCTTTGAAATTCTCCTGCTCAACATTATCTTCGAATACATGACAAAAACATGAATTAATCCACATATGGTGCGATCTGACTAAAATAAATTCCGACAAAAGTGCTCATATGATGAGAAGTGATCGATTAATTCTCATGTGATTTGAAGTATCACATGATGGACTTTGACCCTCCTTAGGAACTTGCCACTTCCCCGGGGGGAACATGGCCTTATGTGGCCAGTGTGGTCCTAGGCTCTCCAAATGACTACCTTTTAACTGGTTCTTGAATTCTCATGTAATTTGATGTATCGCATTCCTAGTCAGATGGTCCTGGACCACTTAACCTGGGGTACCTTGTTCGACTCTTATTCCTCTTCGATCCATGTATGGACCCTACCCGAGATAATCATGCTTGGACATCAACTTGGAAAATTCCTCTGTGATCTTTCGGATATTTATAGTAATCTGTTTGGAAATTATGTGGAGAAACGTTTTATTACCGCCATGGTGCCTTAACGCAAAAGAAAATGGCAATCTCTTGATACCCCTTCTGATAAAATTAATTTGAGCAATCAATTTGATATGCTCACGGATGATCATTATCTTATGAGAAGCAACACAAATGTTTCACTTACTGCACCAAAACTGAACGTCTGTTCAAGGTTGTCTTTTAAGGTCTGCCCAATGGTGAAGCCCTGGATCAGATCAAAGATGAATTGACCAAATTACTTGGAGTTGATCTACTCCAAGTAATCAAATTGAAAATGAAATCCCGTCCTGGGGATTCAAGCAACGGGATTTCTATGATTTTTATTTAGTTCACTTCAAGTCTAGTAAACTAAACAACCTTAAGGTCTTATAAAAAGCTAGTCTTATGTTCGAGTGAAGTGGGAACACTTCAGGAAGATTAGAGGAAATTTCTAAAACCTCACCCAGTGCCGTTAGTGCCAGGCATGGGGTCACGGAACAAAATATTACTACATGTTAGGTAAATGTATGAATTTTCTTGAAGAAAGATCCTAAGAAATTTATATGTTCAAATTGTGGTGAAAACCACAAATCAAATTTTTGGAAATCTAAGACTCGCAAAGCAATCCTACATTCTCGTGCCAAGCGACAGGTAGGAAACACTCCACATTCCCAGCCAGGTACTAATTTCTCTGCTGTGTAATATCGTCTTGACTTAGAAATTCAGTAATGGATTTTAACTCAATAAATATTTTGAATTGGAATACACAATCTCTTAACGATAATGAAGACGAGCTATTTTACTTTTTGAAAGTTCATAACGTGCATATCGCTGTTATAACTGATACGGTCCTTAAATCTGATCATAAGGTTAAAAGGAACGAAAATTACTTCATTTATTGATTGTTGTTGTGCATCATTATTCATAGCCATATCAAACATAAAATTATTTCTTCATTTGAAATCAAAGTTTTTGAAACTTTGGGAATTTTTGCCGAAACACAATTTGGACAACTTACGTTAATATCTGCCTTTTTACCATTTCAATGCGTAGGCCAGCAAAAGAATTTTTTCAAGGGTGACCTTCAGAAACTTACCCGTCATAGGTCTTAATTCTTCATTATTAGTGATTTTAATGCAAAACACCGATCATGGAATAATGCGCGAATCAATTCCAATGGTAATATTCTGTTTGATGATTGTTCTGCAGGTTATTACACTATTCAATATCCAAACAGCCCAACATGCTTTTCTTCTGCAAGAAATCCCTTCACTATTGATTTGGTCTTAACTGATTCATGTCAACTTTGTAGCCAATTGGCTACCCATGCTGACTTCGGTTCTGATCACCTTCCAGTAACTTTTGAAATAGCCCAAGAAATAATTTCTAATCCCATCAGCTTTACTTTTGCTTACCATGATTGGGAGCAATATCGATCATTTATGGAACATAACTTCGATCCAAATATTCCTTTGCAAACCAAAGATGAAATTAATTGTGCTCTTGAATCTCTGATTACTTCTATAGTTGAAGCAAGACCTGCCTCAGTACTAAAATATGAGGTTAAATTCGATTCAGTTATAATAGACGACAATCTTCTGCTCATGATCCGTCAGAAAAAAAAGCCCATAAGCGGCAAAAAAAAACACGCGGTCCTGTTCCAAATTTAAAAAAGAATTTTCTGCCCTGAGGAACACACATTTAAAAATAATGTTTCGAAATTAATCCCAAATTCCAAACTTTTTTTGGAAACTCCAAATTTTTGTTGAAAAAAAAACCTCAAAAGCCTATTCCAGCGTTTAAAAAAGGTGGTAAAATTTTGATCACAAATTCGGAAAAGCTCAGAAACTTCGAGAGTTCCCATAATTTCAGTTTGAGTCTTACTAGTCCTATTGAGAATCAGGTTGCTCGGGATTATCTGAATATTTTCTCACGGGAAAATATTTTTAATGTTTCTTATTTATGGGACTTATTTGGACGAATCAAGATCTAGAACTAAAAAATTTTAAAACATTAAAGCTCCAGGTGAATTTTTTATATCCTCATCAAAAAACTTGTCTTTCTTGGTAAAGTTCTTTAACAGATGATTCCATTTGGCATACTTTCCTAATAAATGGAAAAATGCAAAAGTTGTTCCAATTTGAAGCCAGATAGAAATCCTGCTGATGCTTCTAGCTACCGTCCAATAAGTTTGCTTTTTTAAATAAGCAAACTTTTTGAAAAGATAATTTCACATAAAAACGAACTCAATTTTTGCAGATGAGCAACTTGGATTTCACCAGGGGCATTTAAATACTAATCCAAAATTAAGTGTTACCAATTTATTTCGTTCAAACAAATCTAATTATCAAGGCAAGAGTATTTATTAAAGGAGTTTCATCAAGCCTAGTTAATGATATATAAAACACTTGTAAATAAACAGCAAGTGGGTTTTCTTCTGCTCAAAAAAACATTGCGATATTCCTAATCCTGAATCATGACTTGATATGGGATTAAAAAAAAATAAACCAGATTGAAAGATGTATAATGGTATCCATTAGTAAATCTTGGGCAATTAGAAAAGACTGGCTTACTCATTTACATGCAAAGTCTTTTCCTAATGCATATAAATTAATTAGTTGAAACTAGAGAGGAGCGTGGAGCCAAGCGATCTGTCAAAGGCAGAGCTTATCGAGCAGCACCTATCTTGATTTCATTGGCAGTGTTGCTAGAAATCACCTAGGCATAGGTTGCCAAGGCAGTTTGTTGTGAATCCACTGCTCTCTTATACTCAACCCTCTCTTGTTGAAGCAGTCTGACACACTATCAAAACAAACGCAGAAAACAGGATTGTTAGGCATGCATAGCAAAGCAACTCTGGAGTCGAATCAATGATTCGATCCTTCGGCATATGTTTGAAATCATGGATTATTAGAATAATTATGTACGGAATTGATCATGATTCGAAAAAAAATAATCCAAACTGTTCTTTGAAGACTTTTGAAGGCTTCTATCGACGGATGTATCACGTGAATAATTTGGAGTGCCAGTAAATTTTATCACCAACCTTGGAAGGCAAATCCGAATCAATCGCAAACACACGGCCGCTATCATATGCCACCAGAACCCAAAGTGAACAGAATCGTTGCCAAACGTACTCCTCGGAATGAGAACCACCCTCAAGGAATATTTACAAGCAGCGCTGTAAATTCTCAAAATCAATTGATCATTTTGATGAAAATGAGAAAAGCAGCTATCCGCTATCAAGGATCGTCCATTAATTATGTCACACTTTTAGAGGAGCGGGGGGGGGGGCTTTGTAAACTGTGACGAGCCACACACAAAAAAAATGAAGGTCCATACCAAAAATGTGACAAAGGGGGGAGGGGGGTTTAAAATGGGCCAAATATTCGTGACATAATTAATGGACCTTCCCTCAAAGGGGACCTCCTTCGAAAGGGTAATATCAGTTGCTTAGTCATTTGACGAAGGCATGGATCATTCTCATTTGAGAAACGCTTGACATCATTCAATTGAGTGTAACCTACACATAAACGGAGCTCTGGTCGGCATTCCGGCGAAAAAGCTAAGCCAACCCGACACCAACCTGACTTCTAGTAAACCCCAACCGGATGTTAACCCAACATAAACCCAAAAATGACCCGACGAAAACACGACATCGACCTTACATTTAGCTTACATTGATCCGACATCGGCTCGAGTTGTCTGTTCGGGACCATTTTGCTGGGTTTCTTCAATACTCCGATGTCGGATATCAAATGATAGTGAGTAACTCAATTGACAGTGACGATGAGCTTCGAATGAGAAAGGGGCTCTTCAAATTATGGTCATGTGAGAATATGGTCATGTGAGAATTATTTTTTTTTAAATTAATTGAATGGTTGTATTGGTCCATTTTTTTCCTTGATTTGTTGTCCGTAGATCTTGTTTTCCGTGCTGAGCACCAATGCTACTGACGCCAAGGAGGCAGCTCCCACACCTGGACCCTACCTATCGACCCATCAACTCATGAACCGGGGACCAACGGCTTTACTTCCCGAAGGAAGGCGTGATCAGATATGTTATGCCTCAGAACATCCCGGCGGCGCCGACTGAGATTGAACCCAGGCCTGCTGGGATGAGAGGTAATCACGCCTACCACTACACCACCGGCACCGCTCGGTTCATCTTAAATCGAATGATATGAAAATTAACAGCACTGCCTGCAAGCATCAGTCGAAGAATTTTTCGCCGAAACCTCAAGTAAACCGTCCACGGTCGTCACCGACTGGAAACGAAATTTAGGCCGACTTCAACAACCAACGTTGCTGCAAAAGAAACTGGACACCAGCAGCCAAATGACTCATGAAGATCGCATTCATCCGGATCGATTGAAATGACATTAAAATAATGTTTTCACATTTTTAGTCCGACCGTTGTATGCTAAATAATGTCCCTAGCTCGGTTTTACCCACCACAACGTAACAAGTTTTCCATAGATTATAGTTTGATTTGATAATTAAAAGATTGAAAACGAAAAAAAAAAAAAAAACAATACAAATTCAATGCATGATGGAAAAGTAAAAAAAATAAATAATAATAATAAATGCAATACACCGGTATTAAGCTGGAAAATCTGTGTGTCAAGACCGGTGTTCTGATGGCATCATCACACGTATGCCATCGGCAGTTACACAAGCCAAGGGTCGGTTTTGTTCTTGTCAAAAATTTTGCTCGTGATTATCGTGACATTTAAGTATTGTTGTTCCATCCGTGCACCACAGGGCCACTGATGCAGCGGTATGCTCCTCTGGTCGCGGAATTGGAAAGAATGGGAAGAACGATGTAAGCGTCGTTTACGTACCTATATCTATCTCCTGCGGCCGATGTTGGAGAGAATCTGCACGAACTGTACAAGCTGTAGCGTAGACACCATTAATTTTCATAATTAATTACATGCCTCTCGAATAAAATTCAGTCATTAATTATTAGCTACCTTGTCTGTATGTACACAGTTTTTTTCTCCTATTGCGATTTTATTTATTGTATGTGCTTACCTCGTTTATTTACAGTCTAGCATTCTTTTTTTCCGCTATGCTTGAACAGTCAACTGAAAACCTGCAGGTTTATTTGAATGTTTGCAAAAGTTAAAACCTATATGCCAACGTCTTTTCTTTGGCTGGAAGGGCAGCTCTCAATCTGCTAATCCACAAATTTTAGGGAAACAAACAACTAGTTTGCAGCTAGTAAAACAATTAAACGTCCATTATGCATTAGCTCCAGTCTCCGATGGTTGCAACAGACTCGTAGAGCATTTTGAACACATTCTTCCTGACCGAGAACATTTCAGCTAGTTTGCATTTTCAATCAGCGTCACAGCGTTATACTTGCATCAACCTCCAGATCAAGCTTTTCCAATAATTTTCCTTCCTGCTCACGCCGACGCAAAACAATTTTCCGAGTTTTCCCTATTCCATGACCGTCATTTTGCATTCACTCGCATGTATGCATCTTCTCGTCTCAACGGGCTTATCCTCTTTCCTGCCATAACAAAGTTTATTGCATTTTGATGGATGCATTATAATCAAAGTTGATTCAGAGTTTCATCATTCAACACCATTATAAAGCTTTAAAAATTTCCATAGCTATATAACTAACGCTACACCACGGAGAGACGGGGCCGGGAGGTAGAGAGAAAGGAAATAAAGCTTGCTCTTCCTCCGCTGCGCACAGCAATTTTATAATCCTTTAGAATCCTCTTGTTTGACTTTCCTCTCCCACTATGCCACACTTAATTTTCAGTCTACCATTTCCAGCTGATTATGCTTGATGATTTTTACTTAAAAATTTTCGCTCTATCTCTTTCTTCGTTGATGTGCATGAGTTTCACTATATAGATATGAATTTATAAGCAGCATAGAGTTTGAGTTTGATGTATGTGTGTGTGTGTATGGTAATCACTAACTTCCTAAAATATACAAGCGATCTCACAACTAGCGATCGTTCGATCTACCACAAGCAGCGATGCGTTATTTTGTATCGTTTGACTTTATGCACAGAGAAGGAGAATGGATTTTCGCTTCAAATCATTTAACTATCATGAATGGTTATTATCCTATTTCATTATTCCATCATTATTGTTTCGAAAGTTTCTCTACAGCTAAAAACATGCACACTGCACTTAGACACATTGCTCCTCGGGGACACCCGAATCTTCAAACACTCATTCCACATCCATTCGCAATCGACTGTTATATTTAGTCGGTGTTTTTATTCTCTTTTTGGCCATTTGCTCTCGCATTTATGTCGTCCTGAATGACATCCGACTGCTGCTGCTGTTGCTGGATACGACTGCCTCCGTAGAGATGTGCTTATGCTAATGAAGCCATCGACAGCCAAGACGATGACGGTGCCGGGTTATTCCAGCAAATGCGATGCTGTCATCTAACGGAATAGAGCAGAACAGTCAGCACCGATAGTAGGATGAGATGGAGCGGTTTGCTACTGGTCACTAATGAATTGGCACTCGAGTTTCCTCGACCTCGGGCAGCTTCCGCAAGACCTGTGGGGAAAACAAGCAGAGATTAGTTCGAAAGTGTGAAGGTATCAACACCACAGCACGATGTGGCTGTTTCAGTCGTTTTGCACCGCTTTACGATTGAGTTTTTGAGCGAAGATTGAGGATTGGATTGCGGATTTCTCGGTCGAGATGTATGTCCCTTCAAATTATTGAACGGTGATTTCTTGATGATTGGAGTCCAAGAGAATTGATTGAAAATGGATGCTTGTCAACATGCTTTAGCCTAGGACGAAGCACCTCTAATGGTTGTCAGTTAGATTTTCGATCTCAAGGGCTTGAGTTTGAAGCTGATAAGGTAGAGGTTGCTGAGGTTTAGAGTTCCATGAACTGGCCATTATTACGAATGTTCCGGATCATTCGAAGACTCCCATTTCAGTCTTAGAATCAAATTCATTAATTTATTAATCGATGCGAGACAAAGTGGTTGTCATTCACTTGAGTAAATGTATTGCAAATATTCAAATGAACGTCAAATGACAAAACGTCGAATGACAATAGGTCAAACGAACAAATGTCGAAGGTAAAAAATGTAGAATAAAGAAATGGTCGAGTGATGAGAAGGGGAACAAAATTTCGAATAGACAAATGGTCGAATGGTTCAACAATATACAAAAGGTCGAATGGACAAAAGATCAAATGGACAAAAGGTGGAATGGACAAAAAGTCGAATGGACAAAAGGTGGAATGGACAAAAAGTCGAATGGACAAAAGGTCAAATAGAAAAAAAAGAAGGTCAAATGGACAAAAAGATCGAATGCACAAATGAACCCAAAGAGGGTCAAAATTTCGAATAGCGCAAGGAGGAACAAAAATACACGACTAATGGTGACAAAAGGTCGAATGATCCACATAACTAATTCGGTTGATTGGATAAAAGGTCAAATAATTAGAAGGTAAACAAAAGGTCTAATGCGCAAATGGTCGCATGATCCAAGGAGGGACAAAAAATCGAATGGTACAACAAAGGAAATCAGTATAATAATGTATACTGATATCTTAAGAAAACAGAAGATTTTTTTTTTTTAGAGCACAGCTCTATCGAATAATTAAATTTTTATGTTCAATGTGTTTTTATGTTACTTCATACGTGAAGTTAACGATTTTCAGAGATGGTTAAAAATACTATCTAACATGAAGTTTTAGTGTGATATATTATCAGCTAGAAATAAATGTCGGAAAGGGTAGGTAGATAGTTCCGCTAGATTACGGCAGCATTTCCAACCAACTCTGAAAATCGCAAGCTTTACGTATGAAGCAACATAAAACACTTTGAATGTAACAACTTAAAGCGGGAGTAACCGTTAACAGTCCATTAAAGTGGTGAATCCATGAAACTTATCCTAGAGCTACGCGGTTTTTGTCGGTTTTTGACATAATAATGAGTTTGAGGTCTTCACATAAAAATGGACTCCGAAGTCCATGGAAATGGTTCTGCAGAAGATCTGAAACATCCTTAAATGTGGTAAATCCACGATACTGACTGATAGTTTACTTTTACTTTCTTTTGTGCTGGCTATTGTGGACTCTCTCATTTTTATTTTTCAGTTCATCAGGAAACTGCTTCAAAATTGACTCAGTTATGAATATTCATGTATCATTTCAGTTGAAAAACTTCAAACATAGTGGTTCAGAATGAGAATTCAGCCGTTAAAGAAGTCTTTGGGCTTTTCCTATAATATTTCTCATTTTTAGACGTTTAGTGAAGAATTTATTCTTTGATTTGTAGCCCTTAAAATAATTAATATTCAAAACTAACTTTTTTTTTTTTAATTTCAAGCAACTTTGAGACAGAAACATAGTTTCTATTTCTTAACGTTCTCATGAAGAGTAATTTTTCAGAATTAAATTAGCGTGCACCTGAAAAAGCAAGTTTTTTAGCCATAAATCTACTTTTTCAATTTTCTCATGATAGTCGTATTCACAAAACTATTAGAATATAATAAAATACACCAGTTCACTCTTAGCTGTCGGCACAAGCAGCTGTGTGCTGTTTCAGTGCGAATCGCGCGATAGTCTGATTTTCGATAGCAACTGAAGTTGTTTCGCTTTTTTCGTTGCCCCATTACACAGTGGTCCAGAATGAAGGTTTAGGTGAAAGCATATGTTTTGAGTCTGAAATTAACACTTTAGACTAAAAGTCTCTTCTACAAAGTTGTTCCTAATAGTTAGTCCCTCATTTTCATTACAGTGAATTCTAGGGTGGTTCTTATCATCAATAAAAAAAAATTAACTTTTTCGTTTGAATATATTAAAGTATACATTTTAGACAAAGTTATAGCTGAGCTAATTTCAAGCAACTTTGCATAAAAAAACTTTTTTGTATCTCTTAAATTGACCGATTTAGAGCTATTTCTTTTTAATTGAGATAGGGTGTCTCTAAAAAAAACAGTTGTTTTGTTCTAGTTTTCTTATTTCGACTTTCTCAGCAAAGGTGTTTTCAAATAACTTTTAGATCTTTAAAAGGCCCAAGTTTTCACTGCACAAAGCTTGTCAATATCTTTCGCCGATCAAGAGTTATTTACGTTTTTCTACTAAAAATATGCAGTTTTTAAATGTTAATATCTCTAGTTGGGGCAAACAAACAAAAAGTTTAAATGTTAATAAGAACCACCCTAGAATTCATTGTCATAAAAATGAGGGACTAACTATAAGAAACAACTTTGAATAAGAGACTTTAAGTCTAAAGTTTCAATTTAAGACTTTAAACATAATATTCCATCTAATTCTGCATTCTGGGCCACAGTGCATTGGAAGCAAAAAAAATCCGTTGAAAATACTGATGATTAGGATGAAGCTTCACACATGGCTCGGCGAAACCATTTATGGATGAAATTACAAATTTCATGAAAGCGATGGACGCGGATTCCGTGCAGATGATCGCTACATATTGAATTGCGGAGGAAAATCTATGTTTATCAAGTTCAAATCAGAAAAGTCCATTTGCTTGCTTGCTTGCTTTCCATTGCTTGTTGAACAACCGTGAAGAATTAACTTTTCATTATACCGATGGGAAGTCCGTCGAGGTACGCATGTCACTTGTTTACCGTTTAAAACGTGGAAGTGTACGACCTTCCACAAGTGGTCCCGGATTGCAATCTATAAAGCATTGGTGCTAGGGAAATACGGTGAAGTAAAGCTTGTATTTCGGGAGAAATTTACAGCTGCCTTGAGTATTGATATGCACACAGGTATGCAGGGTCTATATACAGATGTAAAAGTGGAGATTCCCAACTCACTACAAAGGGGAACATATTCTATCAAATGCTACAAATGTTTACTTTAATATTCAAACCGACACTAGGAAAATATACAACAAATTTTAAGTTATTAATTGCAAGGGCTACATGATTCGATGGAATTAGCAATACGTTATTGGTTAAACTCTATACGTTTATTTAAATTGAATTTGGTATAACTTTGGAGTCTCCCTTAGCTCAATCGGTAACGGCGCAGCTACAAAGCAAGACCATGCTACAGGTGGCTGGGTTCAACTACCGGTCCGGTCTAGGCTTTTTTGGACTGGAAAATTTCTCGGCTCTCTCTGGACTCAAAGTATGATTGTACTTGTCACACAATTATACTTATGCAAAAATGGTACAGGAATCAAATACTCAAATAGATGCACTTTGGTAGTGCATCTAGAACCAGGCATGAAAAGCCATTAACATTAATTTCGTGTATTCATTTATATTCGTTTGCCTCTAACTTTTTTCATCAGCAGATCAGAATGATGTATATTTTTTTCTGTTTTGCTATAAGCTACAATTTCTGTCAATTACCTAAATCTGTATCTCCTATGCATAAGGACCAGAACGAACGGGACCCACCACTGTTTTTCAGTGAATGTAAATTACATTCAATGGAAAACAATAACAAGCTCTACCCGCTCAAGTTCATCATGGATAAGAGGTACCGATAGGATTTATTGACAAAAGTTGTAACTTATATTAAAACCAACAAAAGCTTCATAAATTATTTTCAGAATTTTGTTGATGAAAAAAAAATTAGAGACAAATGAATGTAAATTAATACACGAAGTATTTGTAAATGTTTTTCCGTGCCTGTCTAGAACACTAAGTTGAGAACATTCAATAAGCTAATATGTGATAAGCAAAAAGTTTGAAATGCGAGGAAGAAGAAGATCGGTATAACTATTTTTTTTTTAATTTAAGTAGATACAGAAATTTTTCAATTAAAAACGTACGTCTTAAAAAGCTTCAAAAGACTTTTGAAAATTACTTTCATGCGAAATTTCAAATAAAAAAGTAAGCTCTACAACGAGAACGTTAAGAGATATACATAATGTTTCTGGCACAAATTTGCTTTAAATTACCTCAACTTCTACTTTGCTGAATATTGTATGTCTTTATTTCAAACGATTTTTGAATATGTACTAATTTCTGAACCACCCTGTTGTTTTCGACCATCAAAAGAAGTGCAAAACTTCACCCATGACATCAATTATTAGAACAAAAGTACTACTTTTTTTTTAATTTTACGTTAGGGTAGCCCACTGAAAACCATATGTAACCTTTTTATGTAAACATGCAAGTCACTTAAAAGAAAAATTTGAAGCTTTTTAAGACGCATATTTTGCAAAAAAAATTGTCTGAACATCATTAACTGTATTTAAAAAAATAAAACAGTTATATTTTGAAAATAAATTAATTTGAGGGCCGCCTTAATGCTTACAAGCACAAGCCAAGGAAATTTTCAAGCACAAAAACTTCACCAAAAACATCAAACGTCTAAATATTACATCAGAAGCTCTAAGACTACTATTCCTGCTAAATTCCTATTCTGGACAACTGTGCAATGTTGTCAAAACGGAGGAGCAAAACTTCCCAACAGAGATGATAAAGTTTGCAAATGTTTTCGAATAGTGACAACAGTCACATTCAAAATATAAGAACTTTTATGCTCATATATTATAACCAGGGTGCCTTCCATTCATTTTGGCCAAAAATGAATTATGAAATTTTGGAATAATAAGAAATTATGATAATATTTTGATTGTGTAAGCTCTTCACTCTTCGCGAAGAGGCGATCAGAAAATCGCTCATTGTGACTCTGTTAAAGCTAAATTTGCAGGTGTTATATGTTAAACGCAAACTTTACATTTTTTTTTCCTATTACGTACTGATGCAAAATAACATCATCATATCTTATTATTCCATTATTTAAAAAGAAAAAAATAACCAAAATTAATTGAAGGCATCCTGATTATAACCATAATATTTTAATCATATATAAAACCAACAAGAAATCATCTAAAAATCATGTAAAGGGTGTTAGTGATTATTGGACCCCTCCAGTAAGGGTTGATGCATATATTATGTCACGCTCTAGGGGGGGAGGGGGTCTAAGATTTTATGACAAGCAATGGATTGAGTATATGATAAACTTCACGATAGGGGGGGGGAATTCTCCTCCATTTAGCGTGACATAATTAATGCATGGGCCCTAAGAAAGTCAAAAATGATAAGATGATCACATCCTCTTAAATCCTAATATGATGTGAATAGATTCAGAAAATCGATCAATATTGAGTAAGGAACATTTACATAAATAGATCAATTTTTCATATGGGTGCTCATTTTTCGCCCAAGGTTGTTCGGTGTAAAATTTAGTCAAACCAAGTTATTTTCTTTTAACTATTAAATCTTATAAAAAAAATGTTACCCACTATAAGAAATCTTAGAAAAAACAAACATGTCTCTTTTTCCCTTTCATAATTTGTGGATGATCTCAAGTGCACCGCAAATAAAAGGTGTATCAAAATGTTTGCTTTTTTCCAGTTCGGGATATTTTGGCTAGACGCGATCTGGAGTTTATGCAACTCATATATGTTTTCTTGAAGAATATTAACCATAGATTGTAAGTTTGATTAACCTTGTGTTTAGTTTGTGTTTTGTATGTGTGTGTGTATGTTTTTTTTTGTAGATTTGTTTCTGTAATAATTGTATAATTACAGAGTTGGTATAACTATGATAGGATTAAGTATATGTTTTAGAAATAGTGAAATTTTTTAATCATAAATCATATTCCAAATCTCTTTTTTCCTCTCCTGATCCAAACAATTGTCATCCACTAACCTCGAGAAGACTGCGAGTAATCGGTTCCAATCCTTTAATTTTAGATTTAAGACATTTATAATGTATAAAGAAAATGGTAACTTGGCTCTATAAAGTTTATTCGATTGAGCCTGTACAAATAAAGTAATTAACAAAAAAAAATGTTTGCTTTTAGAAATGCATACAACCTTTTTCAATCAAAATAAATACAACATTTTTCAATCAAAAACAAATTTTTCAATGTCAAACAATCTACGGACGCTAAAAGTTCTATCAAAACCATTTGCTTTGAAATACTTCGAGGAATAGCTGAATAATGACATTTCAAGCAGAAAATTTTAAACCAGTGTTTCAGTAATAATGAACAGTATGGTATAATCGGTTGAACCAAATTCTAGTTCTTACTATACAGAGAACTGTCTTGAGGCTACCAGAACCCTCGTTTCGTTCAAAACTTCTTTCTGTTATATTGATTACAATTTATTTCTATAGAACTCATGGAGCTCTGTCATCAATTGTACGATTTGAATATTTCATATATGTTCCGAATCTTCCTGACAACCGTCCTATGGCCCTCAGAGCTCAAGTATATTTCATGAATTCAATTTAGTTCATATATACTGTAACTCGAAAAAAATCTCGAAGCTCTTAAGTCATTCTCATCACTTGACCACTTTCATGGATGTTTTAAATCTTTCGAAAGAGACCCAAGGCTCACATTCGGGTCTTCTGAGGAAAAAAACTGTAAATTTCACAATCAGAGCTATCATCCTTAGTTTTTGCTCGAGGAGAGATTTCCAACTGTTCAAAGATATTTCGAGTGCAACTCCAGCATCAAATAATCAAGCTTTCTCTTTGAAGTGCATCAAATAAAAACATAGAAAAAAAACTATAAAGTTTGTGCCATGCACTGATACAATGAAACAGCGACCAGTATCCACTAGACGACTTTTTCAATTAAATCAACAGTCAACTATTTTATACAACTTCAATTACACTGCCACTCGTTCATCACAAGCTCGCCAACGAGACAGAATCATCGCTCTCGAGCAGCAGACCAGATGAAAGGGACCGGAAATAATCCCCTGGAATACTCGATTTTTTTTTTCGAGCGGCAGGGCTCTATATCACCTACCTCCAATTATATTTAATTGATCGTCGCTTGTTTGCACTCCACCCGGATGAATTTTGATTTCTGGAACGAGAAAAAGGAGCAGAGGAAAAATGAGTCAGCGTGGAAAACAATGGAAAAATTGCCAAACAAATCATCCCCACGAGTGGAACAAAAGGGAGTAAATCAAAAGTTCTATATTCACACCGGAAGCGAAATCAACGACGGCAGCGATAGCTATTATAATAGAGTGAAAACAACAGCAACAGAGAACACCACCCAGATGACAATGACAATCAAACAAGATGGAAACGACGACGATTGCAAGGACTACAACAACGGCGATGATGATGATGATGATGATGTTGTACGAGTTTCTTCAATCCTGCGATCGTGCCGGTTGTTGATGGTGCAAAAAATAGCGCAAAACGAACGGGAAAATTATAAATGAATTGATTGAATGAATGGAAGTGATTGTTTGTTTGGAAGAAAAATCTAATTAGTTCAGGCCCTTTTGTGCTTGTTCTCCGGCGCAGTTCGTGTTCGTGGCAGCTTAAAACGAAGGACGAGCATAGAGTGCTTCACGTACCCGCACATAGGTGTATTCTCCGGAATGAAAAAGACCGGCGCGACCATTGGAATACGACCACCGAAAGCTGCTCTATGAATGGGAAGCTATGGCCCATGCTCCGACCGACAGACGGGAAATGACGCACGTTGGTTCTTTTGATCGAGACGGTTCGTTAAGAACGTCAGTTTACATTCATCATCCTGCTAACATTCGGTAAACAGAACCAGCGTGAAACGTGATTGTGACAGAGATGGAGCCAATAAACTCACCGAGCGGATGGCTGTTGTCAGTTGTACCTAGAGTTAAAGTATACCACGTTTGGCTGACATGCAAGGGCTATATTAAATTATGTTTTGTGACTTGAACCCTTCTTGATGATATTTTTGACTCTATTCATTCGCATTTCAATTTGGATTACATAGGGTAAATTATGGCTTCGGCACCCATTGACTGTTTTCGGAAACCGAAATTGAAACGTTAATTTCACTGTATTTTCCCATCAAAACTCTTCGCTGAATGTATTAAGCCGATTCCTTACCTTTTCAGCTTCAATCTGATTACATTTTTACGACTGTGCAATCCTGTTATGCCATATTTTTCTTTAAATTAAATATACACACTACAAAATAGGTTGATTTCGAGTTGCCGATAATAGAACAGCTGATTAACACGCAGTTCAAATGGAAAGGGTGCCGAAGAAAAAGAGACTGCCGACAATAGTCACTCTCACCTGAGAAGTTTGGAGCGTTGTAAAAACATGTTCAACCCGTTTTGATCAATTCTGTCGATTGAAATTGGTAGAACAGCAAGCAGCAGATAAATGTCAACAAACAAACCTGTCATGTATGAGTGTGACGCTGAGAAATCGCTAATAGAAGTTCGGACGCTGCTTAGATTGACGAGAATATGTAAATTCCCCTACTTTAATTTCTGTTTAGGGATTTAATTTCACACTAAAGATAGGTCCAGATTTTATGTGAATAGCACTAATCTCGTTCATCGTTAATTACTCGCTGTCTCACATATGAATAATCATTAAATGGGACGAATTATTAAACGTTTATACGAGACAGATAGAACGCATTAGGTTTGAAGTTATATGTTTAAAGCGTAAACCCGAACATGGAGTTAAATCAAAACATCAAAGTATATGTAACCCATTTTATATTATTCCTTAGCATGGGCTCATGCATGACTCTGACGGCAGTATTTGAATGCAAAAATTCAGTAACAAATCAAGTTTTCCGAATTTTCATATACTGTTCTGATTTTATATTTCGAACACTTTATAATGATATCTTGAAATACCTATACACCAATATGGAATAAACATTAAAAATATATAAAGCTTGTTCCTTTAGTCAGCCTGTGGTTTAACAGCCATTTTTTTTATAGGTATCACCCCGGAATGATAATATTGCTGGCGAAAATATTAACACGCTTCCAACATTCTAAAAAAATGAAGTGTCCGAATTATGAATCACATGTTTTACTGTGAAAAAACGAGATTTATGTTTCGGGCAAGACAGTTTTATTCATTTATTTAATAATTTCATAAGATTAAACAACATTAAACATGAATTCAAATATGAGGTTCGTATAATACGTAACGTATAATGATTCTTAGGAGCCCTAGCTAAATTACACTTTTTTCGAAAAGTTTTTATATTTACTTTAAAATATCATCTCATGTAGCTCAATGTAAGGATACTCAAGCTTAGTATTGAGGAAATGAAACTAAATAATGTGTTACTATAAATTATATGTCCATGAGCCGTACATGCCTTAAGTGTCTGATACATGAATCTGAATAACAGTATTGTGGTTATCTTGAAAAAATGTATTTGTGTAAACTTGAACAATTAAAACTAAATATCGAAATTTAAATTCTAAATTTTTCATGGCAAATACACACTAACTATCTAAATCTAAAACTAGGTGAATGTAGATTCAATAAACAGCATTAAATACGCCACAGTTAAAATACATAGAACATCTTCGCGAGTTTTCATTTAACCGTAGTTTAGCAAAATAAAACAAATGCAAGAGGCCTAGGCCCCCTCCAGATAAATTTTCTAGCTACGCCAATGATTCCGTGTTCCCGTTTGAGCATCCGTGAAGAAATGACTGAACGTATAGTGTCCGTTTACGTCCGTTTCGGTATTCGTCCCAAACTTGACCATTTCATGGCACCGAACCAACAGACGCCCTTATGTGCAACAACAGTTGAGTAAAGGTTGAACACGACAAAAACGCTGCCATTAAGGCATTTTTTGAATAATATCTCAAGACCAACAATTGAAAAGGTCTCAACTACATTTTGTAAACAAACTTTGTAAGGCCATTTTCTCGCGAACCAAAACCTACATTCGCAAACCTAAATCACAATCGGGTAGAGGAAAATTTCCCCTACCTGTTCATTTTGTTAGTATGCGTTGGCGTTTTGGCGGTTCGCAACAAAATGGCCTTCCATGATTTGTTTACAAAATGTAGTTGAGGCCTTTTCAGTTGTTGGTCTTGATCTTTCAAAATTTCACTGAAGTAAGCAAAGAGTGTATATAATCACAGTCAGCCTGACAGTTGTCGATGGAATTCCTGAGCAGGAATTGTATACCTCGGTTGACAAAAAGAAGTCGAAATTCCCCAAAAAGTTCCTTGTCTGGCAAGCAATCTGCAGTTGTGAGATGAAAAGCGAAACTTTCGTTAGTTCTGCGGCCATGAACCAGCAAATTTAACAAGAGGGTGTGCCTACGAAATAGACGACTAGCATGTCTGGAGCAGCAAGAGATGGATTGCCTATTTTGGCCGGACTTAGCAATCTACCACTATTTAAATTCCACCAAACAGTGGTGCAGCGAAAATGGTGTCACAGTTGTTCCCAAGGAAATGTGTCCGGCCAATACTCCGGAGCTAAGGCCAATTGCGAAATAGTGGTCAATTGTAAAGCACATGCTGAAGAAAAAACTACTTGAAGGATTTCAAGCGGAAATGGAATTTGGCAGCCACACAAGTGGGAACAGGGCTCGTGCAAAAGATGATGGGCCATGTACGAAGAAAAGTTTGAGCAATAGCCTGTGGTAAGAAAGAAAACTGAAACAATGGTCTTACAATAAGCATAATACCTACTAATGTATAGCTGTTTCATTTAACTATGAAAAATAAAACGCATTTTCAAACCCATCAAGATTGCTCAGAAAGGTGCACCCTTAGGGTGAAATGAAACAGATCTACAAATGTTCAATAAGGAACAAATACACAAGGTTTGAGCGATATCGGAGTATTTTTTTTTCGGTTGTGCTTTTTTTCATAGAATTTCTGTTTTTATATATTTTTTAAAAATCATTCAAGTTTTATAGTTTTCATAATACCAACATTTGATTGAACGCATAATTTTTAATGAATAAATTTGCATGAACACTTTTCCAAAGTTTAACCGGTCTCAAGTTATTGCGAATTTTTAAAATAGGAAATGATATATTACCATTAGTTTAGACCTTTTCGGAATGTTAGTCACGATGTTCAGCTATTAAATGTATGTATGACAAGATATATGATGATTGCATATTATATTACCTTTTAAATCACCCTCATAAAGGGTGATACGGTCAAAATTTGGTCAAGGGAAAACGCGTGTAAATCGGTGAAATCGTTTATTTAAAAAATCAAATTAAATTTCTTTTTCAAGTTCAATTAGTATAAAATTCAGGAAAAATATTCAGTTAGGCTTCCGCTTTTCCAAATCCGAATTGCCGGGCCTTACGCTTGACCCCTGCCATCAGATTTTGTACAGCCACCTTGTCCACCTTCTTCGCCGCAGAAAGCCTTGAACTGCTGCTCGCCCTTAGCAGTTTTTTTGGTCTTCTTTAGGTTCCGCTTGACAATAGCCCAGTATTTCTCAATTGGGCGGAGCTCTGGCGTGTTGGGAGGGTTCTTGTCCTTGGGAACCACCTGCACGTTGTTGGCGGCGTACCACTCCATGGCCTTTTTACCGTAATGGCAAGATGCCAAATCCGGCCAAAACAGTACGGAACAACCGTGTTTCTTCAGGAAAGGCAGCAGACGTTTATTCAAACACTCTTTCACGTAAATTTCTTGGTTGACAGTCCCGGAAGCTATGAAAATGCTGCTTTTCAAGCCACAGGTACAGATGGCTTGCCAAACCAGATATTTCTTTGCGAACTTTGACAGTTTCATGTGCTTGAAAACATCTGCTACCTTTCCCCTTCCTTTTGCCGTATAAAACTCCTGTCCCGGAAGCTGCTTGTAGTCGGCTTTGACGTAGGTTTCGTCGTCCATTACCACGCAGTCAAACTTCGTCAGCATCGTCGTGTACAGCCTCCGGGATCGCGCTTTGGCCGTCGTATTTTATTTATCATCGCGATTTGGAGTCACTACCTTCTTGTAAGTCGATAGTCCGGCTCGTTTTTTGGCTCGATGCACGGTTGTAGACGATACACCCAGCTTATTTGCGGCATCTCGGAGAGAGAGGTTAGGGTTTCGCTTGAAACTACCG